TACGTAACAAAATACTACTTTGTCCTTGCTTACAAAATACATGCTACCTAGGCATAGGTTGGCAGTTCGGACAAGCTAGGATTAGCCCAACTATAGCCTTCAATTAAATAAATTTTAAAACACTGTTTTTGTTTCGACGTCATAATAATTTATGTAAGTGCGTTCTTCAGGCCTATCGGTTCATCGATCCATGGAAGAAAGACTACGTATCCAACTAGTCAATATTGTTGGAATATAACAACGTAATGCCTATGTCTTTGATTTTTTTTCTCTATGTATAGGCTTAAGAATGAGATAAAATTACCTGACCTTTTCAAGAGGGGGAATATTTTGAAGAACTTATAAGGTCTTTAAAAGACACCTCAGAAGTTGGGAAACTAATTTCCGGCCATCTAGGAATCACAGTTTTCCCGGGGGAGGACCCACAACCCCCTCTAGGTTGGGGTTTTTTTTGGAAATATCTTGAACCCCCTCTTTCAAATCCTGTATCCACCACTGCATAATATTTTGTTCTAAGTGTGATCGTGGTTGCAATGTCGGGGAGACCGGCGCCCTTATTACTAGGCCTACTAACAAAAAAAAAAGCCAAAAAAACAAACAAAAACTACAGTACAAATAATGATAACATCGTATGGACCTAGCGCTATGTATTATACAGTAGATAAGTGTTCTTTTTACCGACTATTTATTAGCTAGATTATAATTAGAACGACTCAAACTTAATGAAATATCAATTTTAAGTCAGTTGTGAGGCCATATTCATCGAAACTTGCAACAATTTTATAAGTGCATGGTCAGTAAATACCGAAATAGATATTCCATTTTCAATTTTCACTTACGTTTCTTATGAAAAGTTGACTTGGAGTCAACTTTGCATAAGAATCGTTAGCAACGTCATGTAAGCGAGTTCATTCAAGGATTCGACAAAAACGCGGTTTCCTGTCGATTTGTGATAAATCGACATATCAGACAGATATTCAACTCGTCAGTTTTATGTCGAGCATTGCGTTACGACTATTTTGCTTTGCTTTACGTCGGTTTCACAACACATCAGTCGCAATCGGTTTCCTGTCAAATCGTATTTTTGCTACGACAAAACGACGTAGTCGTAAGCAAT